TTCGCTCTGCGTTGGCGTTGGCGTTTCCGCATTCTGACTTGCACCGCAACCGTTCTGAACTGTTCCAACTAAATAATAGGCACTTGATAGGTAGGCATTTCATAATTTGCCATACTACCGCAATTGATTGCTGTCCGAAAAAGTTAGATACTGAAATAGTATGTCGAATAATTCAAGCAAACGCCTGTTAGCAGAATAGAAAATTTGAAAGGCAAATCATAAGTTCATTCTCGATTTATGTATTCCTTTTATTCAGCCAGTGGTAGCTGGCATTTGAGAAATAATCTTGATTGCGCAAATCGAGTAGCCAGCCGCAGCGAAATCGAAGTATAGTATGCCATAAGCTAACAATTCGTTGCAAATCGTTTATGTGTAGCTGTTGTCAGTCAACTGGCTTTGAACGGTGCACCACCCAGCGGTTAACCATCAACCAGTTTTCTTATGATTTTACTTGATGCACTATCGATTTTACCAAAAAAAACATGAGGCATCACCACAATGTACTGTTTAGCAAATTTCATATTTAGCTTCCATTTTCCCTTATAAAGAGTAACATCTGCGTGACTTCTTGGACATTTAGGGAGTGTGCCGAAGAGTTTGGTCTTTCTGATGTTGCCCGAATCGTCTTTATTCTTCGAGAGCGCAATATTTTTTCGGCCATAGGCAATACTGTCGTGAACATCAGGGTCATGTAATTTGCCCAAAGGGACGTGCATTTTCTCTCATACTATTACTATTTTATATCTTAAGAAAATTCCCAGGGTTTAGAAAATGTGGTATTTCAAACACCCTGTTAATATAAAAAGGCTGCTTTGGAACAACATTCTATATTTCCACAATGGAAAGTGTGGACAAATGGATTTCCTTCTTATAAGTATTTTTGTGTGGTTTTTCCCTTCCAAAACTCTTATGGCTTCATTTGTCAATTTTAAATAGATTTGAAGATCTTTATGAAGTGAGATTTTTAAACAAAATTTCGATTGAGGAAACATACCTTATTTTTTATGAATAAGGGTGTTAGTTAATACTTCTATTTTCGAAGATACTCAAGTAGCACACTGGTGTATAACTTGGTGTAAATTTGTGAATTTTGGTGCAATTAATCAGATTTATACCGAAATTCGTAAATCTACACCAATTTATGCACCAGTGTGCTACTTGAGTATTTAACTCTGGAAATTTAATTTATACTCTTAAAACTCAATTAATTCAGTATTAATTCAGTATTTACCTTATCTTATCACTTTAACTGAATAAAACTGTTCAAATAGGGGGCAACCAGCTACAAAAATGTTTTTGGCAGGAGACTTTCTTAAACCTCTGTAGTTTGATACCCGTATTGTAATATTTCACTTATTTTATCAATGTAATAATTGAATACCATCTTTCGAACAGGTGGCAACCCTGCTCAAAAATATTTTTGGCAGTAAACTTTCCTAAAACTCTTTGGTTTGATACCCATATTGCAATATTTAATTCATCTTATCAATTAAATCACATGAAAATTTTCAAACAGGTGGCAACCTTTCACAGAAATATTTTCTACTGTAGGTCTTATTAGACCTCTTTTTTTGAAATCCATATTGCAATATCTATATATATAATACGCGAAGGCATTTTTTGTGCAGCATAAAAGATCTGCACCGTTCGTTCGATTTTCAAAAATTGGGTGTCAAATTAAAGCACTTGGCCTGTAGATTTTTTATTTTTCGAAAAGAGTTGCCACCTGTTGAATAATTAAACTCAAGTTATTTACTAATCAATGATGCCCTCAGATCCGCACCGTCCGTTCGATTTTCAAAAGTGAGGTACCAAATTAAAGGGCTTAGGGTGTGGATGTTCAAGAAGATTTTAATTTTTCGAAAAAGGTTGCCACCTGTTAAGAAATTGAGCTCAAATTAATTAAAAAGTTAAATTAATTATTAAATACGGGTATCAATCGATGTGGTTTTGAAAAGGCTTTATAACTTAACTACGTATATGAGGGTTGCTACATATTGAAAAAAATTTTATTCAATTTTAGTGAAAGGAAATTGGTAAGTGAATAAGGTATCGCTATATGGGTGTCATACAAAAGAGGTTTAAGAAAATAGTAGTTTGGAAATATTTTGAATAGGGTTGCCACCTATTTGAGAAGTCTAATTGAACTATCTTATATCCAAGTTATATGAAATATTAACGATGGATGTCAAATGAAAGAGCTTCAAGAAATTATTGAGGGATTCACAACGGTGTAGTAAGTGTCGTATTGTTGTATGTCGTAAACTTTAAAAGCATAAATAACTGTTTAGAGAACTTGAAACCACAACCAACTGTTTTTAACACTACGAAAATTCAAAATATGACTTTGTTGATATTTTGCGAACCCCCTTAATATATTTTTTAGGCGTTTAAAGTTTACGACATACAGCAATACGACACTTACGATACCTTTGTGATTACCTCAACTTAGTTTGGAAATTTAAAACATTTTTGATGTGTTTGAGGGTTGCCCCAGTTTAAACGGCGAAACTAAAATTATTTAATAAGTTAAATGAATTGCTAACCGATGGTTATCAATGGAAATGGGTTAAATTTATTTTATTTAAGAACTATATTTAGGAGGGTCGCCACACGTTTAAAAAATAAATTCACAAAAATTCATCAGTTACTTGAAATATTTATAACAATGTCAGACGAAAAATATTTAAGGAAATTTTAGTTCGAAAATAATATGTAATAGGGTTGCCGCCTGTTTTGAAAGTGGTATTTCGTTTAATTATACATAAGTTGCATGAAATTTTAAAATATGGTTCTCAAAAGACGGAGCGTTAAGAAATCTTTAAATTGAAGATATGTTTTTTTTTTTGGTGAAAAAATTAAGCTCAAATTATTTCATAAGTTAAATGGATTGTCAAGAGATGGATATCAATCGAAATGGGATTGAAAATAATTTATTTCTAAACTGTATTTAGGAGAGTTGCCATGTGCTTAAAAAAATTAAATTCAACTTAATTCATCAGTTAATTGAAATATGTATAACAATGCAAGGCGAAAGATTTTAGTTTGAAAATACTTTTAAAGGCGTTACCACCTGTTTGAAAAGTCGAATTTGTTTTACTTATACGAAAGATACATATATGAAATATCGAAATATTAGTGTCAAACGAAAGAGTTTTAAGAAAAATATAGGCTGATAATATTTTTAATTAGAGTTGCCATCTGTTTTTTATTTTATTTTTTTGAAGGTCATCACATCTGCACCGTTATTTCGAATTTCCAAAATGATAAGTCAAATTAATTCTACATAGATGTGCACAGGTTTTATTTTTTGAAGTTACAGGGAGACTTGAAATTTGATGAAATGAAAACCGACACCATGCGAGACCTTTCATCACTGAGAAATAGTTTAGATTAATCATTAGGAATATTTTTAGAGGTTTTTGAATAGGGTTTCACCTGTTTAAAAAATTTAGTTAAATGTTGCCGTTTTGACGCTATGCGGGTTCACTAGTGTACTTTATCTTATCAATTTACTTAAACTGGAATTTTCAAACAGCTGGCAACTCTCTAATTATTTTTCCCTATATCTTTAGCTAGACCTTCAGCAATGCATCGGTGAAAACTGCATTCGATTCCATGCATCAGTTTTCGTGTGATGTGCTACAAGAACACAGACAGGCAGACGGACAGACAGACAGAGAAAAATTATAGAAATTGTTGATTTGGCTTCTGTTGCTCTAATAAGGACACCCATATTAATTTTTCTTTAATGTACGGATATCGGCCTGTTACAATTTTATTATATCGCCGCCCGTATGCCAGAATGACGGACTGAGAGCAAAATAAGTCGCCCAATTGATCTTATTCTCTTCTCTAGGAAGTACAAGGTCCTCAACGCAACTCTTCTTGGGTCTGATCTTGGTAAGGAATATGGTCTCTCAACCTAAATAATTCCGTAACTCTATGAAATCATAGATAAGCCCATAAAGTGTCTCTCGCTCTATCCTCACTTATATGTACTAGTGATGCTTTTGGGCAACTATTATAATCGTCAAGTGGCATTTAGGGTCTTGAGTTCCTTAATGGTGCTCTAAATATAGTTCGGAGAGTGTCGGACCTTCATCTCCTTTGCTTCGGGCTATTTTCCAAGTATTCTTATGTACTTAGTTATATGGGTACCAGGCCATAGTGGCATTGCGGAGCTGACGAATTGACGAAAAAGGGTACATTATTGATATCACTGGGCAGGGAGCGAGTGGAAGCTGCCCTGGCAAACTGTAGTTCAATCTTGGATAGATGTGCCCCATTTCAGCTCAGCGAAAGCTGGGTGTAAACTAAGAGCGTAGACTGGGCGGTCAAAGGAGATTATTATGCTCCTAAATCCACAGCTATTGCTTTAGGTATGGCTTCTAACAGGTCACAATCCGATCGGCATTCACACGGCAAGGCTAAAAATCTAATCTCGTCCTTACTGCTGCAATTGCCTGAAGAATGATGAGAGCGAATCACTTTCTACTAGTCTGTATGGCTTTCGCGAGGCTAAAACCGATGTAAGTATGTATCTTGGCTCGCAATTTAGAAGCGATATTAGCCGCAATCGCAACTTCGTGATTAGATCATAGTATTACACATGACAAAAAGTGAATAATACCTAAGTGTATCCCCAACCTATCCTAACATAGCCGCCGATTTTGAAATTAGTCTAATCAAAAGAAAATTCGGACTAACCGAGCAGCTCTGGCACGTAGTTTGTTTTCTGTTTCAAGTCTCTAACCTATTAATAGAGAACGTCTGAAAATAACTAATTAAATAAACTCTAAACTTTTGGTTGTTGAGATGAAACGATCTACGTCTGAAAATAATGTCCTACAACAGACATTAATGTTATTCAATTTCAAATTTACTTAAACTGCACCCTCTTCATGTGCATTCCGCCGCCACCTTACTCAAATGTCAATTTCAATTTCAGCGCTTAGATTAAATTTCCATTTACTTATCTCAGGTTCTCATCATTTCAGATTATTAATTCAATTTCGAACTGAGTAAAACTGCCGAGCATAAAAAGAGACACGGAAGTGTAAAATACGCCGCAACCCAAGTTTCAAATCTACAGTTGCACAAATATGTACATACATACATTTACAAATACACAACCGCAGATATATTGACACTTTAGTCGGTAGACACATTTGCCAAGGGTTACAAAGGGAAGTTTGAAAAAGGCAAAAGACAACATTTGTGGCAAATTCGTTAAAATTATTTGCATAATTCTGACACACTGCTCGGTTAAATAGAAGTCGCACGCATAAAAACAAGGAGAAGCGTAAAGCCACCAACAAAATCAACCAAGGCAACAGGATTCTATAAACGTTGGCTCCGAAGGTGAATAGGCGCCCCACGGAAAAGCGGCATTCATTGACTATATAAGTCAACTGGGGAATGACATAGAACCAGGTAAGTTGGCTGTCACACAGCCGGCAATGCTGCCCAGTCATTTAGCAAAAAGAAGAAAGTGTGTAATTGTAGAGAGGTGCGCGTTATTGGGTTAGCGGTTAGACAGCGTAATTATTCCCGCTGGGCTTGAAAATATTTAAAATCATAAAGCTTATAACAAAGTCACTAAGTCGCCGCACAGAGAGGACAAATTACGTGGGAAATTGCTGGTTATGAACCGTAGCAAAAATATTCACCTTAATGGGGAATATTTGAAAGGGGAAATTAAAAAAGGGTTGATATGCAAGAAAATTACAAATGAAGACAGAAAGAATACAGAATAATGATGAAATAAATATCTGTCGGTAAAACTATGTCAGCTTAGAAATAAATAAACGTTTGAAAAGGGGGATGTCGACGGAAATAAGGTATAATGATTTAATTAAGTATCCTCAACTAAGAGAAAAACTTTATTTGCCCTTAGTTGCAATACAGCCGGTAGTGTTCAGCTAAGCGTGGGATTTTTAGATTCATCAAAAATAAATTCAATTATGTCAGTATTTTTGCAAAGATAAGACAGCCAACACTCGGACATTATGAAAGTTGATAGAAACTGGAATTTGAGGTCACCGCTGACAACGAACGTTTCGCCTACCAACAATGAACTTATATACATACATATGAGCAGTTTATTTTAAAAGTGGCATAAGTAATTTTCACCTCTTATGCTTAAATGGTTGATCGTAAAATAGTCGAAAAATTAAATTATATCTCCTGAACTACTTAACCGGTTGGAAAATAAATATTGTATAAATATGTACATACGTGATAGAAAATTTAATAAGCTTCACCAATGTACATACGTAAATATGTATGTTGAAATTTGAGATTGGCCAACTACATTTAAAATAAAACTGTTAAAAAAAGAGTACACTTTTTCAGATCTCAAAAACCGAAATTTGGCTATATTTTAAAAACTCTTCTACTTTTTTATAATTTCATTACATACTCGAATTCAGCGGAAAATTTTACCTAAGAAATTTTGCTAAAATTTCACGGGTCGGAACATTTTTTAATTTCTGTAAACTTGTTTAAGTATTAATTTTTGGCTAGACGTGTAAAGTGTTTATACCCGGGCTGGAAATCGCCCAAAAAATCGATACAGTTCAGTTCAGTGGTTCTAACTACTGGAAAAAAAAATACCGGTTCATGAGTATCTCTAAACCGCGTTTCGGTTTGGTTAAATTTTATTTATACTAACAGGGCCATTCTGGCAAATGTCTTTGAAGTACTTTTCTGTATATCGAAAGGATAATTGAAGGATTTGCTAACGAGGATGTGTAGGCGTTTTTAGGTTTGTCTTTTAGCAATAAGTTTTCTAAAAATTTAATGGCATTACCAAAAAATATGTATGCTAAAAGAAAAAAAAATAAAAATAAAAAGAAAAATAAAAATAAAAATAAAAATAAGCATAATAATTAAAAAAATGTTAAAAAAATTTACGAAAATAAAAAAATCTGTTTCTATTTTAAACAATAAATTAAAATAAAAAGAATAAATCTGATGAGGAGATGTGGTGATATTATATATATAATAATTATAAACTATTGTTTTTTATTCCACAATAATTTTTCTTAAAAATCGATCTCAGACTCAATAAAAATTGTTTAGTATGATTTTTTATTAGGCCAAAAAAAAGCAAAAAATAAAAAATTATAACTAATTAAATAAGTTCCTAAAAATATATATTTTTCTTTTTAAATTAATATGATCTGAGGATGAGAAGAGAATTTGATTAAAAAAAAAATTACAACATCAAAAAAATAAGCTCCTAAAATTAAATGAATATCAAAATATATATTTTTCTTTTTTTTAAATAATAAAATCTAAAAATTATAAAAAAAGCAATTAAAAAAACTATTCAGTTAAGAAATTAAATAAAAAGAATTTTTTTTGTTTTGTTTTGGAATGAATTTCCGTTATCCCTTGTCAAGTTTGGTTTGCAGACAAACCGGTTTCCGCGTTGTGCCGAATTGTTTTTCTTCTTAACACAATAAACTCTAAAAATTTAAAGAATATTAAATAAAAAAAAATATATATATATTTTTCGTTTTAAAATAATATAATATTATAAAAATAAAAGAAAATTAAATTTAAAAAATACATATAACAACAAGAAAAAAGCTCGTAAACTTAAATGAATTAAAAAAAATAGTTTTTTTGTTAAAATAATAAAATCTTAAAACTAGAATAAACTTAAATAAAAAATAAAAATAATTGAGTTAAAAATATAAATATAAGTTTCTAAAAATTAAATTATTAAATACAGTATAGACACTCAACATCTTGGCTTACAGTTTGTTGCCATCAAACAAAAAAATATTAGCTGTTCTACCATTTTTAGGTAAAGTTGTGCTTTTACGTGGGTTGTCACAGGTATAGCCGAACAAATTGCTCTATAATGTTAGGCACAATTCATCGCCTGAATGTTGCAGTTGTGTCTTCTTCTCAGCGCATGCACAACGGGAATTGGCTTTAATTAACTCGCCAACAGGAATGAAAGCGAAATGAAGTTTATTCTTAAATACAGAACGATAGATTGGCCGATTTCAAAATAAGTTGAAACATTCCAATTGCGGAAAATACTACAGTAAAACGTTTTATGCCAGCCTTTAACATATTACAAAAATCTGAGAAAGAAATTCTAAGAATCTGATTCTCCTCGGATTTTCATAAAATCTTTATTTAGACAATAAACTTGAATCCTTTCAAAGTTGGCTCTGGCAGCAATTATTATTCTATTCGATTGAGGAAGGTCTCAGAAAATGGTGTTAAATATACGAAAAAGTCGTAAAAACCCAGTGCTCAAGGATTAAGTATTCATCTCACGAGCTACCATGGTGGGCACTTCCCCAAATCAAGCGATTAAAAATAAATTCTAAATCCCCTAAGGCTTGTGCTAAATATTTATTTCAATTTGAAACGTCAGCACGCTCAAACACCCTTTTCCGACACTTGCAACTTTTATTTCAATTTACTATTCTAGACCTTTTAGACGCATCATTTATGTATCATCCCCATGTATAATAAAACATTTTGTGGGTCGTTTAATATACCTTCGCTTATATGTACTTACACCGCAGTAACACTGCATTTTGGCTGAACATCCGTTATGTTAATCTCAACTTACTAAAATGTACACAGAGCACAGTCTTATTGAAATATTTACATACCTATGTACATACATATTTAAGTTCATATGTACATTCGCATGTACAGTAAGTAAGTAGTATGTGCCTAGATACTTGTAATTCTACTATTGAAAGCAGTTTCACTTATTCCCGCGCAAAAAGTTCAGAAGTGTAGCACTTTAATATGCTATATCATTGAACTGATGCCAGGCGGTGTATGCATTTGTAACATGCACGTGCATCGTATATATGTACATACTACACATAGTACTTGCACAAAGAGATGTGCGTTAAGCGCCTACTTATCATATTACACACGGCGTATGAGTAATATCACGAAATGGTAATTTTAACCCATTTTGCAAAAGGCGATGTTACATACATTCGCAATTCACTATTTATGAGCCTACGCACGGCAAATAAACGGTGCAATAGCACACGCTTTAAGCATACATACATATAAGTATTACGTATTTATATAGTGAAGCTTTCATTTATGCCTTGAGGTGGAAGCATACACATCTCTGTACATACAAAAATAGTTACACGTCGATTTGCGTGTTATCCCCTAGAACATAGTGCAAGCACGCTAATATTAAGTGTATTAAGGCCGCCGACAGTTGTGCAGAAAATAGAGAACTTAACTGTTTACCCTCTCCTTCGAGAGATCACTTGATTACACTTTTGTAATGAGACTTTCACCCGCAACAATTCTTTCCTACTAGGCTCTGCATTTTGTACTAAATTCGTAGCCGCTTTCGACGCCGGATATATGTAAATAATACATACAAGCAATAAAAATGTGTACATTACGTGCTTTTTCTTTCCCCATACACTTTTTCATGTACAATCATATGTACATATATACAGACATGTATATAAAAAGGACTACCAACTAGTACGGCCAAGTGGCAATAGAGCAGGCGTACACGGGCGATTGCCTACAACAACGAAAGTTATAAACACACTTTGCATGTGCAATACCTCCCAGCGGTGCATAAATTCCTTGTTAAACATGAACGACATACAAAGTATTTGGGCGCATTGCTGCCAAAGCTCCAAAGTTGATTGTTGGACAATTGTTTTGGCTTTGGGATACATCGCAGCTAAGGAAATAATATTTTCGTGCAAAAAGGAAGTAGCAAATAAAAATGCAATAAAAAAGTATTGCAGAGAATGTAAACAACAAAATGTTTATAGCAGAATATTTATTGGGAAAGGTTGTGAAAAGTTCGAAATGGCAAAAAAGTGCTGACCCACACAAGCGGCGGGTGGTTTCTGCTCCGGAAATAATTTGCGTAAGGGTAGGCGTCTACATATACAGTAATGTTTGATTAAATAGAGCCGCCACGTGCTGACGAGTTTGGAATTTATTTTATTTTTCTATTGAACTTTAATTAATTTCTCAGAAAAATTTAGTTCATTCTATAATATAAACCATTTAAACATAAGTTTAAAACTTTGTAAAAAATTTAGAAAAATTCACAAAGTTTTTAGCCAAATTTCGAATTTTTTTGTCAGAATTTTTAGAAAATTTTTTCGTATGCAGTTGTATAGCACAGCGACAAACTTTGTCTCAAATTTAGACAAATTCGCCAAATTTTCAGCCAAACTTCGATTTTTTTTCTTATATTCAATTTTATAGTCCATGAAATTCTAGTATAAGAAGGTGGAAGTGTTAACTTCATAATAAAACTTGGACTATGTCTGGACCTAATCCTTTTGCGACCATTTTCGATGTAAAAAAAAAACGGGAACAAAGTCAGCCATAACTTGGCGTATTTTGACCTTGAATCACTCCAAAGTTTTGCGATTGTTCGCAAAAAGACT